AGAAGTGCCAGGTGCTGCCCAGTTACCTTATCAGGACTCCCCTCTCCCCCTACCCCCGCCACCAGCAGACCGGCCACAGCTGGGCCTCTGCTCACAGAAGTCCCTGGGGAATGGGGACGGTGGGTCACATGTGGACAGGGTCCCTTTTGTAGCCCCACCCACCCCAGCTGGCTCTGTCTTATGCCACCTGACCAGCCAGCTGCTACTTACACCAGCTGTGCCCATTCATCATGGAGAAAGTCCTTGCCCTTCTGCTCGTCGCCCTTGCAGTGGCCTATGCAGTTCCTGACCCCCGGGGAGTCATTATCAACTTGGTAAGAGGGTCTTCAGGGGAGGAGTTATCGAATCCCCCGGGGGGATGTTTTAAGCCTGGCTCTTGGGGGCTGGCTGGTGAGGCATCTCTTCCTTTACTGCCCACGTCCTGGCCTGCGCCTCTTCCCCAGGGGCCCAGAAGAGACTGATCAGCGTGGAGCATGCGCAGAGCAGCGGGTCAACCTGGCTGAGGGAACTTGATAAAAATCTAGAGCCCTAAAAACTGTGGCTCCAAGGGTCCAGTAGTTTAAAAAGCGTCCTCAGGGATTCTGCCTTCTGACCTAGCGTGGCAGGCTTACTGTGTGCCAGACACAGTCCTGAATGCCCCAGGAATAGTTCCTTATTTAGTCCTCACAATAACCACGTGAGGCAGGTACCATCACTGTCAACCCCGTTTTCAGATGGAAAGCTGACCGAGAGAAAGGTTAAGCAACCTGCCTGAGGTCGCACAGCTAGAAAGTGTTGCGCAGGGACTAGAGCCCAGGCCGGCAGGCTCCAGAGCCGGGCTCTCACCACTGCCCCACCCTGCCTCTCCCCCAAGGGCAGAACGGGGAAAGCCCTTCAGGGCCATGCACCCAGACAAGGGTTCTTAACTCAGGGGCGTGCGTGGGCTCGGAGGGTCCAGGACCCCCCGGTGATTATATGTAAAAGTCTGTTGGGGGAGGGGGGAGTTTTCCAGGGAGCTGTCCTCAACCTTCACAGGCTCCTCAAAGCACTGGGGGACCCAGAGGGGTTTGGAGACCCTCTTTGGGGGCTACACGTGCACCTTCCAGATGGGAACACTGAGGCATAGTATGGGACAGTGACTTGCCCAGGGTCACCCAGGGAGTTGGCAGTATAGCCAGTACTAGAACCCGGGCACCCTGCTCCCAGCCTAGGTCTGCTTCTCTGCCACCACCCTGCTCGCCTCTCACTGGGAGGGGGTGAGGGGTGGGCAGAGAGGTCACCAGACCCACGGGGTGGATTCCTTCACACACGCCCTGACCAGGGGAGGCACTGTCAGGGTAGTGGGTAGTGGGGTGGGGGTCTGGGTGGAGATGGGACCACGGGGAGGGGGTCCTGGGCTGACTGACTGCCCCTGGCAGGAGGCGGGCGAGATCTGCATGAACAGCGCCCAGTGCAAGAGCGAATGCTGCCACCGGGAAAGCAGCCTGAGCCTGGCCCGCTGCGCAGCCAAAGCCAGCGAGAACAGCGAGTGCTCTGCCTGGGTGGGTACCCAAGGAGTTGGTGTGATGCTGCTGGTGGTGGGGGGAGAGGGATGGCTCAGGGGAGGAGTGCCCTCAAGGCTCGGGCATGGGGGGAGGAGGGTCAGCCTGGACATTGGATGTTGAGGAGATACGGAGGGAGGTCACCAGGCTTCAAAGCTCTTTCCCATCCCATCACCTCTCCTGACCCTCACAATGACCGGTGAGATGGGTGGGGCAGCGATTTGTTATCCCCATTTCACGATGGCTAAACAGAGGCTCCCCAGAGTCATCAAATGAGTAAGAGCAAGCGAGCCACGGAGACCAGAGCTGGGTCCTCCAGGCCCACAGCGACCCCTGGGGAGGCAGTCGGGAGAAACGCTGTCTGAAAAGACAACGGGGCTGCTGGGTCTCCGGGTCAGGCAGGGGTAAGCGTCTGACTCCACTGGCTCTGTGCCTCTGCAGACACTCTACGGGGTTTACTACAAGTGTCCCTGTGAGCGGGGCCTGACCTGCCAGGTGGACAAGACCCTCGTGGGCTCCATCATGAACACCAACTTTGGCATCTGCTTCGATGCTGCACGCTCCGAGGAGTGAAAGCACCCATCCAGCCTTGCACCCAGGCCAGCACGCCGAGGGACGCTCCTCTGCCACCACTTCTCCCTGGCTGGCCGTCCTCAGGACCAGCATCTCCATCTCCTCATTGGGTTCTTGGCAATTAAAGCCCCTCCTGCAAACCTTCCCCAGGCTCCTGGATGTTCTTGTTGAGTCGGCGTCTTCCTTGATGTTCCATCAAGTCTTTGCTCCATCAGGGCGGGCGTCAGACAGGTCAGAGAAGGGAGAGGTCTGGGGCAGGATGAGGCTGGACAGGCTGGACACCAGGTTGTGAAGCAGGCCCAGACAGGTCTGGGGAGCAACCAGACCTCCCTGGGATGCCCTCCTTGCCCCTCGAGTTCTCAAACGGACAGACAGGCTTGCACGCACGTGCACACACACACACAATCTCTGGTGGGGAGCCATAGCTGCCCATATTCTTTGTTCTGCCTCAAATTTACCAGTCCCCTGTCCTGGGCTCTCACCTCTTTTCTGGGTCCAACTCTCAGATGTGACAGTTAGCTGACGCAAGCCGTGTTCAAGGGTCAGAACACTAACAATTGCTGTGGGCTTACTCTGTGCTAGAAAATCCTCACAATGATTCCAGAGGGGGGGGAGGGGGGTGGAATTTATTGTCCCCACTTCATAGATAAAAGAAACTAAGGTCCAGAGAGGTTAACTTGCCCAGTGTCACATAATTAGAAAAAGTTGGCACTAAATCCATCTTACTCCGCCCCCTACCCTTTCAACGACTCCCTGTTCTTTCCCAATTTGTCATACTAAGACAAATGGGTAGAATTGTAGAGAATTTAGATGGGCTTAATATAAAAATTTTATGCCCCCTGGAACCATGACACCTGGTCCCCATCACTGAGATGCACAAGTGGAGGTTCACTGACCCCTCAGTGCGGGGAGGAGATTCACATGAAGAATGGGAGAGAGTGAATGGAATGAAACCGAGATGCTCTCCCAGCCCCGGGGATCCTGTCATTCCAGGATCAATGAATCCTCAGAGTAAGCATTAGGTGTAAGAGTTAGGACTGGATTCAGCTGTAAGTAATCAAAAACCCAAGTAACTGCGGCTTAAACAAATAGGGGCGTGTGTTTCTCATGAATCGAGAAGCCTAGAGACAGGAAGTGCTGGCACGAGCTTGGGTGCTGGCAGACCTGCAGTTCTCTTGACTTTCTCCTCTTGGTTGGCAAATGCCTGCACAGCACTCCTAACACCACATCCTCTCGGCATACTCTAAGTCAGGAAGCATGGAGTAGAGGGTGAGCAGGGCAGGGGTGAGAGGCAGTGTTCCTCCCAGCAGAACCTCTTATCTTGCCCTAAGCCTCCATGCTGACTTTTCCATGTCTCCACGGCTACAACTAGGTCACCTGACCGCCTCTAGCTGCAAGGCAGGCTGGGAAAGGGAGTTGGGCAAAGGGAATGAGATGGCTGCGACTGGCTCTGACTCATTATGACTCCTCTCCCGGGGCTGGGCACATTACTGCCCAAACAACATTGGGGTTCAGTTAGCAAGGAAGGGGGGCAATGGCTGCCACACCTGAGTTAGCGCTCCACAAGAGGGGCTTTCAATAACTGAATCCAGTAGGGGTCTCAGGCCCTGAGGCAGCTGTGGGTCCAATTCCTTGGGGCCCAGATTCAGCCCTGGGGAGATCTGTATTCCTTCACTTCACACATCTACTGAACGCCACAGTGCCCAGCACTCTTACAGACTGTGGGGGACGTGAGGAAAATGTCCCTAGTCTCCAGGACTGAGCAGGGAGTTGGACTGTGTGGAAGCAAGTGGCCAAGACCTCAACCCTCTGGTCCCCTGTATTAAATCCTTTCTATTTGAAATACCTGGAGTGGTTGTTTTACTACACTGAACCCAACTAGTACAAGGCTGCTGGAAAAAGGGGAGCATTTTGTTATTGTTGTTGTTCAAAAGCACTTTCCTCTCATCAAGCCTGGAGCCCATCCAAATTCCTACTGCTGGACCCTGTGGACCTGCACTGTCTAACACGATAGCTATTCACCAGCCACACGTGACTTTTGAGGACCTGGCACGTGGCTCACCCGAACTGAGAGAAGTGTAAAATTCAAACTGGATTTTTGAAGACCTGTTACCAAAAAAAGAATGTGAAAATCTCAATTTTTACATGTTGAAATGATAACATTTTTGGTTGGGATACAAATAAAATATATCATCCAAATTGATTCTACCTGTTCCTTTTTACTTTTTTTTTTTAATATGGCTATTAGAAAATTTAAAATTAATATGTAGTTCACATTTCTTTCCATTGGACAGTGCTGCTGTACCTGCTCGATTTCTGCTGCTTTTCAGCACCAGAGAATTGACCCTTTTCAGCACAGCAGAGGCATAGTGTCGCACATCAGAGTACTTTCTCCTCACAAATCTCTCTAGATTCTGGCAGCAGTGGCTTCTACCAATGACCACTTTTCCCACAGGGGCAGCTGAATACCCACGGCTTGGGAAGGGGTCCAGAATACGCCACTGTGGCATCCAAATTATTTTGAGCTGCAGGCATTTGAGAATAGGCTTTTTTTCTGAACTCCCTTATCCCCCTAAAAGCAGAGCCTCCCAAAAGAGCTGGTCATCTTAAATCCCCTTTCTGGGAGTTTCTTGCAAACATGAAAGATTGACTCATCACTGGGTGTAAGTCCACATGGCACCTAAATAGACATTATCACTAAACTGTCATGTCTCCCATCTGCTCTCCAAAGGGCCCATTTACCTTTCCTAAATGTCATGTGTTTTCCCATAAGCGTCCTTCTCCCCCTCCCCTTCCCCTATTAAGATGTTATATAAGCCCCCAAATTCTAACTGCCTCTTTGAGTCACATTTTTCTGTAAACTCCCCCATGTATATATGTGAATAAAAATCTCTTCTCTTGCGAAACTGTCTTTTGTCAGTTTAATTTGCAGACCCTGAAATATTGAACGAAAGAGGGTAGAGGAAAAGTTTTTCTTCCCCAACACTTGGAACCAGTTTAATCATATCAGCAACATAGCTTTTTGCCCCTCACCCCTTCTAACTTCTAATACATTGGGTCTCCTGGGAGGCTGGGCTTCCAGGGCTTCAGGCTCTCCTTCCAAGCTTGTTTTATACACTTTCTCCACATCTGGGGAGCTCATGTAACACCACGGACTGTAAGACTGTATCTGTCTGATGTCCATGTAACACTATGTATCCGTCCGATGCATTTCGTACAGGACAGCATCTTCTCCGGAGGATGAGTTCACAGTTTTGCTGTGACTTACAGGGGAATGCTCTGAGTACGACCACAGCTTATATCTCAGCTCCTGAGCTCTTGCACCATAAGCTGGACATCCTGCAGGGCACGCGTGGCTCGGATCTAGGGGCTTACTTAATCAGGGGTGTGGCTCAGTCTGGGAACTTAGGTCCAAAATCTGAAATAGTTATCTCCAAAATGTAACGGAATAGAACAGGGCCACCTTGAGGCTTCCCTCTGCTGAGAATGCACTACACACAAGCCCGCAAGCTGGCTCTGGCTCCTAAAGCCTCACAACCCACAGGACCACTTCCTAAAACTCCTCTTGACTCATCCTGTGCCCACCCTCACCCAGCACAGAAGATGCTCCAATCCTTCATTTCCTCAATCTTTCCTTGGCTCTCCTTTCTTTCTCATCCCTTCCTTCTCTTCCTGTCTTCCAGAGGAGTCCGATTCATCACTTTCAAGCTGTGTGACCTTGAGCTAGTTGCTCAATCCCTCTGCTCCTCGCCTGTGAAATAGGGGTGGTAACAGTACCGACCCCTCTAGGATTAAATGAGATCATGTGCGTAAGGCACTAGCCTTGCCGCCAGCATCCAGGAAGTGCTCAACAAACACTGGCAATTCTTCACACACATGTTTGTTTTGTGCACTTTCAGTTCTGAAATTTAAGGTCAGGGGAAGCAAGCTGAGCTTTCAAAGGTGGATTATGGAGTGGGCTGAAGCCCGAAAGGGGTTGGGGTGGGGTGGGGAGCTCAAGTCTCCTCTGGGGGACTTTCATTCGTGCCCTTACAAGAGAAAGACTCCGAGCCCAAGAATACCCCTTCCCGCTTCCTCCCTCATCTCCTCACCTTCCCCACCCCCCGCATCCCCCACTAGCATGCCCTTGCCCTGTCCCATGCCCATCGCAGCCTGGCAGGCCCACCCAGCCCCAGGTCCATGGGCAGCAAACATTGAGAGCTCTTTATTTCAACGACGGTGCATCACCCCTCCCTCCCTGCCCCTCTCCTAGCAGGTGGCTCTGGGGCTGAGGGGCAGGCATACACAGTTCTGTGTAGGCAAGGGAGCAGGGGTCGGGGTGGGGAGGGAGGATGCAAGGAAGAGGCAGAATTAAAAGAAACTTTTCTTAGCTGGCTTCTTTGCTTCAGTTTTCCTGCAACGGCCGTAGATGATTTTAAACGATTTCACATTCTTCGGAAATACACAAGTCAGGTCCGGCAGGCAGGGACACTCGTTATAAAGGCCGAAGAACGTCTGGGAAAGGCCGGACTTTGACCCTGACCTTGGGAGCTGCTCTGCCCTCACCCCGCAGGGGCAGCCCCCACTCCCACCCCAGCCCAGCTCTGGAGCCCATCTGCTTGCACACTGCAGAGGAGCCCTCATCCAGCTGTTTAGAGTCTGTGCCTCTGGTTGCCATCTCCAGGCAGGCCCCCAGGGTTGCTCAGTGCCCTCCTAGCTCCATCCCTGTCATTAACCTGTCTGCCTGTCCTAAGTCGATGAACACGACAGAGGCCCCCATCTCTTCTCCTTAAATCCATGCATGGGCAAATCAACTCCCCTTTCCTTTACACCTAACTCAGAGGCAGCCTCAGCCCCGCTCCGGCCAGGAACACCTGGGGCCACAGCTGAACTCCTAGGGCTTGGGGGAGGTGGTCTGAGGCAGAGGTAGAACCATGGTTAGCGCCAGACCTTCTAGCTGTGCCCATTTACAGAGCTACTTTCAGGGTTCGCGGGGATGAGCCCCGGAGAGCGGGAACCCACATTAGAAAGAGAAGCATCGCCATGCCCCACGCCCCGCCTCCAGGATTCCAAGTCCCCGCGGTGAGGACCCACCTTGGGTCTGTGCACAGGCTCCCCCAGCCGACTGGGAGGGGCATTCCCAGCGGAGAATTCCCGGCTCCGGGTCCTTTCCGCCCAACCCCCCTCCCCTCCTCCCCTGGGCTCTAAGTCCCTCCGGCTGCCCGGCTCCCGGTTTTCGTGGGTCCCTCCCGGCTCAGCCGCCCCGGCGCCGCCGCTCACCTGCGTGTGACACGCGCTGCCCTCCGACCCCTTGAGGGCACAGTATGACTGGCAGTTCTCGGGCTCCCGGCGGCAGCATCCGCTCTTGCACTTCTTGCTCTGGATGCAGATCTCCCCGGTGTCCTGTGGGGAGACGGCCCCGCCCGGCTGCACCGCGGCCCGCCGCCCCCCGGGGCCGCCCCCCGCCGGCTCCTCCCCCGACCGCGCCCCACCCAGCTGGGCCCCCGGGGACGTCCGTGCGGATGCGGCGGGGGAGAGAGGGCGCCGGCAGGGCCCGCTTGTGCCTAGAGGGAGCTAAACAGTTTCTAAAGGTTTGCCCTTTGTGTCCCCAAATAGGTTACTTCTGTCGCACACACAAGGTGGTCCAGACCTTCCTGTCTTTGCTCACGCGGCTCCTGCCGCTGCACAACCGTCTCTCCTGCAAACTCCTGGTCACCCTTTCAGCTGAGCTTGACTGTCATCTACGCGCCCCCCCCCCCCCCCCCCACACACACACACAGACACACTCACACATCAGCGACCCCCAATGCTGGGGCTTACGACATCGCGTTATTCCCGCTACCCATCACCTCTCTGTTGGGCAATTTCAATAGTCGTTCAACAAGCGAATACTGATAACCTATTGTCTCCAGACTCCATTCCAGGCACTGTTCCAGGCACCGGGGATACAGCCGGGAAGAAACACACAGAAACGCCTGCCCTTCTGGGGCTGACAGTTCAGAGCAGCTGTCCCATAGGACTTTCAGCAACGATGAAAGTGTGCTTTTTCTGCATGGTCCAAGGCGGGAGTCACTAGCCCCAGGTAGCTATTGAGCGCTTAAAACGTGGCCAGTGTGACTGAGGAGCTGAATTTTAAATTTTGCTTAATGTTAATTTAAGTAACTTCATGTTGTCATGGAACAATGGCCCCGGGAACTCAAGGGTGCGTTCCGAGGCATTTACCTGTTTAAGAGATGCAGTCATCACCAAGCACCCTGAACCAGACCAAGCCCCACCACAAGAGCGACACCTGTGGCCTCTGCCTCATTTTTAATGCTAAAATTTCCTCTCCGGGAGGAGTTTAGGCCTCTTAGTCTCTTAACCCGCAGTGTCTGTGGAGGCGTATTTCCAACTGAGCCTGCGGCAAGAGAATACCCACCTCTCTCTTTTGAATATTCATTCCCATCTAAAATAAAAGGCCCCTGCTCCCCCTTCTTTGGGGGACGCCATGACTCTGGAAATGATTCTATGTGGTCTCCTATTTGCTGCAAATAAGTTCTACTTTGTGTGACAACTACTCCTGGTCCAGATCCTGATTTTAACTCTGCCAGGAGGGAACTCACTCTGTTCGGTAACAATGTGACTAGTGACTATGCTGTGGGACAAGCGCAGCTCTAGGGGAGAAGACACAGAATAAATAAATACATGCAATAGATACGGTGTCATAGATAAAATGTTGAGCAAAAGAACCTGGATTTACAAACAAACGTACTGTGTAATTCCATTGTATGAGGTTGAAAAACAGGCAAAACTAATGTACGATGATGGAGGTCAGGAGAGCGAGCTTTGGGACCGTGGACTGGCAGCGAGCGTGAGGCAGTGTTCCCGAGTGCTGGAAATGCTCTGGCTCTGGATCTGGCGGGTGGTTAGGAGGCGTCTGCATAAGTTTAAAAGCCACCGGGGGAAGGGGCGGGAGGCAGGCGCCATGTCTGGCCACGGAGGTGGCAAGAAGCAGTCCCTGGAAACAGCCCCAGAGGCAGGCCAAGGAGACGGGCGAGGAAGACGAGGCGTTCAAGCAGAAACGGAAAGAGCAGAAGAGACGAGGAGCTAAAATCAAGGCGGGAAAGGGCCCTCCGGCCACAGAGGAATTAGGAAATCTGGGGGAAAATCAACAGTTCCTTGTGCCTGAGGCATTCCTGTTTAAACTTCTAGACTCCCTCCATAACATCTGTTGCCACCTATAGTCAGAATCAAGTGTTGCCTTGGAGCCTGTCGTACATTTAACAATAAACTTTTGTAAAAGAAAAATCCTACAGTGGCTCATTCTCTCTTCAGCTCTCACTCAGCCCTTTCTACCTCAGCTGTGAGGTCAGAGTAAACCCAGCTCAGACTCCTGCCAGGGTGTTCTCTTCAGTCTTCATTCTATCCCAAATTCTGTACCACCTGGAATTAAACCAACTCCTTTGAAAAAAAATAAAAGCCATTCATTTTAGTGTAAAATCAAGATTTGGGCATTTTACTGTATGTAATTTTTACCTAACATATATATGTTAGGTATTATTCATTAATAATTATTATGTATGTTACACATGTGTAATCACATCTATTATGTATGATTTAATGCTGTAAAGAAAATACAGCAGGAAAGCAGGACTGGATTGGCAATAGCTTCTTCCTGGCCACCTGATTCCTCTCTTGCCAGTAACTGACCCCTGTCCCCCACCCGCACCCTCTCTCTCTCCCCGCTCCTCCCCTCCTCCTCCTTTCCCCCCTCTCCCTCCCCCCATCAACTCTTTCCAGAACTGCTAGATGATCTTTATTAAAAGGTAAATCCCATCATGTCAGGCCCCCGTTTCAAAGCCTCCCAGTTGGTGGGTTTTCTAAAACAAAAAGACAACCCACCAGCTGGGAGAAAATATTTGCAAATCATATATCCAACAAAGGGTTAATTTCCAAAATATATAAAAAACTCATCCAACTCAACAACAACAAAACAAACAATCTGATCAAAAAATGGGCAGAGGATATGAACATTTTCCCAAAGAAGATATACAGATGGCCAACAGGCACATGAAAAGATGTTCAACATCACTAATTATTAGGGAAATGCAAATCAAACTACAAGGAGATATCACCTCATGCCCATCAGAATGGTTATTATTAAAAAGACAAGAAATAAGTGTTGGAGAGGATGTGGAGGAAAGGGAACCCTCATGCACTGCTGGTGGGAATGCAAGCTGGTGCAGCCACTATGGAAAACACTATGGAGATTCCTCAAAAAATTAAAAATAGGAATACATTATGATCCCACTATCCCACTGGGTATTTATCCAAAGAACTTGAAATCGACAATTCAGATATTTATGCACCCCGATATTCATTGCAGCATTATTCACAACAGCCAGGATGTGGAAGCAAACCAAGTGCTCCTCAACAGATGAATGGATAAAGAAGCTGTGGTGGGGGGCCGGCCCCGTGGCCGAGTGGTTAAGTGCATGCGCTCCACTTCGGCAGCCCAGGGTTTCACCAATTTGGATCCTGGGCGCGGACATGGCACCACTCATCAGGCTATGTTGAGGCAGTGTCCCACATGCCACAACTAGAAGAACCCACAACTAAAATATACAACTATGTACTGAAGGGGTTTGGGGAGAAAAAGAAAAAAAAAAAAAAAAAAGAAGATGCAGTGTATATATACAATGGAATACTACTCAGCCATAAAAAAAGACAAAATCATGCTATTTGCAACAACATGACAACATGGATGGATCTCGAGGGTGTTAGGCTAAGCAAAATAAGTCAGACAGAGAAAGACAAACACCATATGGTTTCACTCATATGTGGAAGATAAACAAACGCACAGATAAGGAGAACAGATTGGTGGTTGTCAGAGGGGAAGGGGATGGGGGGAGGGTGAAAGGGGTAAAGGGGCACATGTGAGGTGATGGATAAAAACCAGACTATTGGTGGTGAATACAGTGCAGTCTATATAGAAACTGTATATAATAATGTACACCTGAAATGTATGCAGTGTTATAAACCAATGTGACCTCAATAAAATAATTTTTTTAAAAAGGCTCCAAGGACCTCCTAGAACACTTAAATATGGAAAGTCTTTGTGGGACCTGCAGGGCTTACTCCTGGGTGGTCTGTCTATCACTAGATCTCTTGCAGCCTCCCCACCCCCACCACACACACACACACACACACACACACACAAACACGCACCCACACGGGTGCACAGCCTGCAGCCACCACTGGGGTTCTGAATGCAGCAAGGTCGCCTGGCCCCGGGGCGTTTGTACTTGCTGGTCCCTCTGCCTAGAACACCCTGCCCTGTGAGCTCTGCCTGGCCGCCTCCCTGTCCTGCCCCAGGCTGAGGCCCTCCCGGATACCCGACTAGAACGGTCCCCATCACCCGGTTTTCATATGTTCACAACACTTAGGACTCTGAAATTATCTTCCTCATTTATCTTATTTTTTTCTGACTTTCTGTCCCCCGCTGCTAGAACCGCAGGTCCAGGGGGGCAGAGACCTTTCACCATCTTGTTCGCTGCTGCATTTCTTAGCCCCGAGGACTGAAGTCTTCACACATAGTAGGCGCCGAATGCAGAACTGAATAAATGAAGATATGGCAATACTCTGTCCTTCCAGCTCAGACCTCATCTCCTAGTCATTCCACTCTCCCTCGCTCCTCTCTGTTATTCCTTGAATATGCCAGGCCAGGCCCCACCTCTAGACCTTTGCCCTGGCTGTTCCCTCCACCTGGTATGCTCTTTCCCCAGAGGTCTGGCAGCCTGGCTCCCTTTGGGAAAGACCTCACTCCCTTAGGTCTCTGCCTACATTTCACTTTGTCAGTAAGGTCTTGCCTAAGCACCCTGTTTAAAACTGCCTCCTCTTCTCACACCACCTCTCCTGAAGCCCCTTCCTCGTTTTCTTTGTCCCCAGGTGTTTATCACCTGGGATATATTAATATTTCACTTATTTGCCTCCTGCAGTAGAACGTCAGCCCTACAAGGGCAAGGATTTCTATATCTTGCTCACAGCCCTATCCCCAGCACCTGGAAACAAATAAAGCACATATAGTAGTTACTCAATAAAATTTGCTGCATGAATAAATGTCTTGTCTCCCTCACTAGAGCATGGGGTGGGGACAAGTGCTGTGTCATGTCCATCTCTGTGTGGCAGCACCTGGCACCGCCGCGGCACAGCTCCCAAGACTAGGATGGGTTTTCTCTTTCCCCCCCAGACACCTTTCCTCCAACTCTCCATGTTGCCCCCGCTTCTGGCTTTCACCCACATGAGCCTCTGTGCCCACCCACCCTCCGCAAACAGCACAGGTCCTAGGATGGTGGCAGAAGACGTGACTGTACCGTCTAGGTTCCTTACCACATTTGCGATTTCTCCCTGGAAAAATGAGCCCCCGGTGAGGAGGAAGGAAAAAGAGAGGAGGAAGAGGAGGACCAGGAGCAGCAGCCACCGCATTGTGGCCCGGAGGTGGTGGCGTTCTTCTAAGGTCCAGCTACATACCCCGCCTCTGCCGTGTGACCACCATGTGACCCAGGCCTGGAGGTAGGCAATGAGGTGTGAATGCCCAGTCCTAGGCTTGACCCGAGAGGCCGGTGTGCCGGCTCCCAGACCACACGGACATCAGGGCTGACTCAGGAATCTTTTCTTTCTTAAGTGAGGTGCCTAAGGCCCAGAGAAGTTGTCAAACTTCCCCAAAGTCACAGAGCCATCAAGTAACAGAAGATTAGACTCTAGTTTTCATCTTCCCACTCCCGTCCCACAGAGGCCTTCAATTCGAATTCTGATAACTCCCTCTCTTGAGAAAATCCAGTGGGCCTGGATGCATTTCTGCAGGCCTTTGGGGCAAGCACAAGAATGACCAGCCCAGGACACACAAACCACGAAGGCGTGCGGCGGCGGTGGATAAGAACAAAGGGAGTGAGTCTTGGACGTGGGAATGGTGGTAACGCAGAGGGAAGAGCAGCAAGTGACGTTTATATATAAGCTAGTCAGAAGGGGCTGGGTAAAGCAGTGGAAACAACTACCCAGGAGTCTCAGAGCCTTGACACGACAAAAGTGGATTTCTGGCAAAGGGGACTCTCCAAGGCGGCCGTCCTCCGTGCGCGGGCTCAGTGATCCAGGCCCCCTGCCATCCCGTAGGTCCTCATTGCACCACTTGGCCACGGCAAGGAAAGAGAACTGGAGGACTCCCGGGATGTCTGACTCCCAGGTTTTCTGGGTGCCTCGCGGAGGGTGAAATGAATGCTCACCCAAAATTGTTTTGGATGTTGGGACTGGTGATGCCACCTATACCACGATGATATGAAAAGCTTTATTATTCGATAATGGAACTTGCTGCGGACAGAAGGGCAGGTGCAAGGAGGTGTGAAGTGGCAAGGAGGAAGGGGCGTGTGGCTCTGCCTTTTACTGTGGCGAGGAGATGGGGCCAGGCGAGTGTTCTGCGCGGGCTGGGGTTTGTGTGGTTTGCACTTCTCACCAGCGCCCAGGGAGGGAGCAGCTGCTCTTCTTGCTGTCTTGCCTGGAAGGGGAGTGGGGGCCTGTAAGCTGTCATCGGAGTCTTCCTTTCTGCTACCTCACACTTGCACTCCTCTGCTTTGGCCCCGAAGTTACGCCTGTCACTTTGCTGGCTAGAAATAGCCACTCAGCCCAAGCTACCTGCAGGAATGCAGTCCTTCTGGTGCCCAGGAAGAAGAAAATGAAATGGACTTGGTGAATTCATAGCATTGTCTCTGCCTTGTTTGACCAAAAAAGGAAGGAAACCTAAAGGGGTAGAGACTTCACCTTAGAAATAAGGCTTCTGGGGCCGGGCTCTGTGGCCAAGTGGTTAAAGTTCCCCGTGCTCCACTTCAGTAGCCCGGGTTCGCAGGTTTGAATCCCCGGCACGGACCCACTCTGCTCATGAGCCACACTGTGGAGGTGTCCCACATACAAAAGAATAGAGGAAGACTAGCACAGATGTTAGCTCAGGGCTAATCTTCCTCAAGCAAAAGAAAAGGAAGATTGGCAATGGATGTTACCTCGGTGCAAATCTTCCTCAGCAAAAAAAAAAAAAAAAAAAAAAAAATCCTTGGTGAAGCAGTAGAAATTAATTAAAAAAAAAGAAAGAAAGAAGTCAGTCTTCTGAGAGAGGGGCTGGGAGCCCTGTTTGGGCAGAGATAGGGCTGATCAGGATAGGAGGAGAAAGATTTGGTTAATTTAAGGTGGCCTGAAGCCTTTGCCTTCTCAGCATCAAGATTATTCCTTTAAAACCTCCAAATGAGGAACATAGAACATTTGAACGTCCAGATGCAGAGACACAGTGCCTCTGAATCTGCATATTAATTCCCGTAATGCAACAAAGAAACAAGAACAAGTATTTATTGCTATAGCAAGAAAGGGAGATTCTGAAATGTTTCTCATCTTCAAGAGACAGAGAATGTCAGGCCTTACTTGCTTGCAAGTGTCAGAAACCCAACCTTAAGTAGGTAAGGAAAAAAGTGAATTTACTGGGTTATATAACTTAAAAGTCCAGGGGTAGAGCTATCTGTCTTAAGACACAGCTTGTTTCAGGGGCTAAAAGGAAGACATTAGACGCTGACTCCACTTTCCTGTGTTGGCTTCATTCTGAGTCCACATAGTGATAAGATGGCTGCCAACAACTACAGACCTACATTCTCCCATGTTCAAGTCCAGTGGAAGAGAAGGTATTTCATCACGGTAACTTGTTCAAATCCTAGGCTTCACTTTGATCGGACAGACTGGGTCTTGTGTCGATCTCAAAACCGATCCCTAAGGCCAGGGCAACAGAACAAGCCTCTTAGCCACACACCGGACCAATCTCTGTGTCTAGAGGATTCAGTGCTCTGATGCGGATGGAGCCCCATTCAACCCCATGGACTGAGAATGGAAGGCGGTGGTTTCCTTAGAGGAAATTCAGGGCTACCAAAAGAAGGCGGGCAATGGATTTTTGTCAGGGAAAATGACTAAACGTTCCTTAGATATGGAAAATGGGAATTTGTATGGGACCACCCATCATGCCTATTTTAAAGCGATGCAAAATGTCATTGGCACATCTTTATTGTTTAGTATATTCAGTCTTTATTGGCTTTAAATTTTTTCAAAGTAAAAGTATTTGTAAGACCTTTCAGACCTCACTACCAACCTCAGCTGGCTTTCCAAAGCAATTGTCTTTGAGTGAATTCTACTGTTTAAGGAGGGTTTAGTGTTCGAGAATCAGCTTTGCTTTCACTTGAAAAGTTTCTTTCTCTACCAGTCAATGACCAGTCAGAAAGACAGAAACTATTCTAGGTATTGGAAACAGAGAGAACTTAATATAAGGAAATAGTCACACAGGTGATGGAGGAGCTGAGAATCCAAACAGGATGTCAAGGCAACCGGGAGATAGGCAACAGCAGGAAGACGCCAGTGTCCATATGGCTGGAGAAACAATGTGAGGAGGCTGTGCAGGTGGAGTCCTGGGGACTGCGGAGGACTGGCAGTGACATGACCTGAAGCAGGGTCGGGGGTGGTGGGCAATGGCCCCTTCTCCTCCCCTCTGATCTTCAGCCAGTCCTAGAAGCCAGAGGACAGAGGAGACTGGGAAATGGAGTTCCCAGGATAAAGAGCTGAGCAGGAGGAGGGCAGACAAATGATTGGCACACCCTCCTTCCAACGCCACCAGCCAGGAGGACTCAGTGTGCTTCTGTCTCTTGCTCTTTCCCCCTCCCACGTCTCAAGTCTGGCTTCCGAGTGCTTTACTTGTAGGGGTACTAGGACAGGGGAGTCACATTTGCCATAAAGCTTATTATTAACGTTATGGCACCAGGTTTGTTTTTGCCCGCCGCCCAGAAAGCCAAACGTTGAGACAATGAGATTGCAGCAGAGAGAGGGTTTAGTCACAAGGCAGCCATGTGAGGAAGCAAGAGCATGAGTCTCAAATCCGCTTCCCTGGAAACAGGGACTCAGGGATATTTACGGGATGGGGGGCAAGGTGGTCTGAAATGTGGAGAGAGCTGACTGGAGGTGAGGAGAGGTGAGGTCATTGATGACATGCACAGGCGTAGTCAGACTCCATGCCTCTTCATAGGATGCATGCTCACAAAATGGTCACATTCGTATGATCTAAGGGTGGAGTTTTCAGCCGCTTGACATCAAAAGGTCACTTATCGGACATCTACACGGGCCCAGTTGATGGCCTGAAGTGGGCAAGGGGTTCTAATTCCTGAAAAATAGCTCACACACCCATTCCCATGGTGACCCAGGCTCCAGGGAGATATTATCCATAGGAGCCTAGTGGGAGTCAGATAGCACATTGCCTCAGCAGCATGGTTAACAATGGGTGGGTTAAATAGCTAAAAGCTATAATCAGTAACTGCAAAAAGGAAAAAACCTTTAGTTGCTAGCTACTTAATCACCGATGACTAACTTTTTGCTGGTTTCATTAAGCCCGGGGTAGCATGATTTCAATGTCTAGAGTGAGGAGACACATCACTCTGTGAGAGGGATCTCATAACTTTCCTCTGTTTTTTTATCTTCAATCTTCATGAAAATTTTGCCATGTTCACCTCCTGCAGAAAAGAAAGCCATGACTTGGTCACGGATGTAGACACAGATAGCTGCTCCCCTGAGTACTGTGGACAGTTCTGCCATGTTTCCAACAGTAACTCAACTGGGCTTGACCACAAGCCTTGCTGGGAAGTTGAGGGTCCCGTGGTCCCCTTCCACCACCACTGCCTGATGCTATGGTTAAGCCAGAGGGTACACAGCCCAGCAGAGGTGCAGCTCAAGAAAGAGCTGCCTAACAGTACACCACTAGCTCTAGGTCCTGGGATCCAAGCTCCCCTTGCTTATTAAAATAATAATAAAGGGTTTTGGGGCAGCGAGTTGTTCCCACTCTACATTCTCCTTCTGTCCTTGCATAACAGAACCCCCAAGCTTTAGCTGGAGGCCCAGATGAAAACTACATCTCCCAGTCTCCCTTGCAGCCACGTTTTGCCCAACAGGATGAGGGTCATGCCCTTTGAGGAAAGATGAGCATTGGTTGTCCCTCCACCCTCTTTCTTCAAGTGGAACGTGGACCCAGCAGATGTGGAGACGAGCCATCTTCCACTAAGTGGAGGAAGGAAACATCCTAGGCAGAGCTTCCCGACCAGTGTGTCTGGAGATGGTGATCCCCTCTACCCTCAGGAGAGACTCTTTAGGGCCCCAAAGCCCTTTATTTTCACCCCAAGGTACTATATGGATATCATGTTTCTATGTGTGCTGTGTTGTAAAAAATTAAAAAAAAAAAAAAAAAGGAAGCAGAGCAGGAGAGGGCTGAGCAGGAGGATGGAGGGAGGGGGAGGCACGAACAACCGTACCCAGCAGCCCCTCCTCTCAGCCTCCAAACCCCAGAGAGAGAAGTCATCCGCCTTGCCTGAGGTTTCCTGCCTCATTAGAGTCTGGTTCTGTGCCTGGAGTCATAAACGTGTATCCTAAATGGATGGTTTGGATTTGGAAACGATCTTAATGTCTACCCAGCGGGAAATAGTCAAGCAAAATATGGTCCACATATATAATAAAGATTAGGCAGCCATTAATGTTTTCAAAAATACTTTGGTGACCTGGGGGAAATGATCAAGATATTATAATATAAGAGAGGAAGCAAGTCCTGATTTCTGTGTGACGCAAAGGGTCTCTGAGCTACGCTGTGGTTACGTCAAATGATGCGTGGTGAGCGGGTCCAGGTCAGGACAAACGGAACTTGGGGTTCCAGTCTGACCCAGGAGAGTGGGTCCAGACATCAGAGCTGAGGCCAGGCATCTTCATCAGGATCTGACCAGGAAAGGGGAAGGAGTTGAGTCCTGGCTGTGTTGGAGCCCTCTCTGCTGTGGGACGCCAGGTAAAACGGGCACCCATGCCCATCAAAATATTCCCAGGGAGGCTGACTCCACCTGTGCACCTGCACATAACCCAGGCTAAGTGAATGAGCAAATTCCACCACGGTGATTGGTTCATGGGTGAGCATGCAGATTAAGCCAATCCACTCAGAATCAATCTTAACATGTTTGCTGAGAATTCTGGCACAGAGATGTTTCCTTTCTCTGGAAGGCATGATATGCATAAGTGAGGTGGATTAGTGGTTAAAAGTCTGCCCTCTGGAGCAAGATGGACTGGGTTCAAATCCAGCCTCATCCCTTCTCTGAACCCATGAGAAGGGTACTTTGAGCCTCAACACCCTAATTTAGTACCTACCATAACTTTGTTGTGACAAAAAGATGAGTTAATACAGATAAGAAAACACTTCGCACAGTGCCTGGAATATAGTAAGTGCTCAAGAAATCTTAGCTGTTATTATTAGGCGACGAATGGAAATTTTGTGGCTGCTGGGAAGGAATTCGGCTGTGGAGCTGCTGGATTCAGCCAGACCTGAGGCCTGCCTGCCTCTGGACTTCCAATTCTGACCACCAATGAATTCCCTCATCATCTAGACCAGCTTGGCTTGGTTTTTTGGATAGTTGCAGTAGACAGTGGTGGCTGATACTCCCATGGTGTGACCCCGAGCCTCAGTTTCTTTATCTAGAAAATGGAACTGGTAATATCTGAGAGTGGAGGTATCAATGCACCAGGTCCCTTTCCCACCACAGGCACAAACATTTTTGCATTTATACTGCACACATATTCTCATAAACGCTCTCTCAATGACCTCCACCCTTTTGCTCCCCCTGCAAAGCATTCAGATACCTCCTCTCAGTCCCTCCTACCACACCCCCATCCTCGGGCACTCCATATACACTCTCCAGGCACACTCCTCAACCCTGCCCCTCCATCCCAACACAGCCCTCCATCCCAAGACTTGGCCCTTCCTGGACCCAGCCCTCCTCACCCACATTCTCCTTGCCCCCTTCCCTTCCTGCAGTCCTACCCTGAAGCCACCAGGCCTCCAGACAGGACCAAACCCTGTGGGAAGCTCTTTCCTGCCTCTGGTCTCCCCTTGGCCTGCCCCCAGCCTGGAACTCTCTCTCCCACGTTCCCTCTTCCAGGAAGCACAGACAGAGGCCAGAGCCAGGAAGTGACTTTAATGTCTCAGGAGCTGAACTTTGAGCAAGATTCAGATGCCCAAGGCCTCTGGTCCCAAGGGAGGGAGGGGGGCAGTGACAGCCTGCATCCTGCTCTAAAGCAAATGGCACCGGCGGGGACAGGCCAGGTCCTTGGAGATGCAAGTCAAGCCCACGTGGCAGGGGCACATGATGTTGGTGGCTCCCTTGGTCTGCAGGAAATGGGTATGAGAGTTGGGAGTCACCAAGGAGCAGCGAAGAAGGGGGGCTCATACTTCTTGGGGAGCAGGAGCAAGAGCACAAGTGACAGAGGCAGGCCTGGGGTCTGTCAGCTCTACAGCTTATAACTTTGTGACCTGTGGCAAGGTAGTGAGTATCCTTGCTTCCATTCCCACATCCGTCAAATGGGGATAACACCAGTAAGCCACCTCCCAGGGTTAGCGTGAGGATCAACTGAAATAAAGCAGATCAAGTGCCCGTAATGAAAAGACCCTCTGGCCACCGCAGCTGCAGACTCAGGCCCCCAGTCAGGGCCTGGCTGTTTCCTTAGGGCGTTGGCCGCTCCCCAGACAGGGACATGGAGGCCCAGCCCGTCCTCCCTAGAAAGGTTTGGGCCCAGGGCCAGAGGAGAGAAGACAAGCAGGAACAAGACGGACTGTGCCTTCTGCCCCCTGCATTTCCACCCACCAATAACGACCATGCTTGAACGAGCACTGTCCTTGCCAGGACCACGTACTCGGCCCAACAACCTGGTGGGATAGGTACTTTAGCCCATTTTACAGATGAGGAAACGAAGGCTCAGAGAACAGAAGTGACCTGTCCGAGGTCACAAAGGCGGGGGGGGGGGGGGGGTAGAAATGCCAGGATTTAAACTCAGGTCCAACTCTGAAGCTGTGGTCCTCCCACCACAGCGCCGTGCTCCTCTCAGGAAATCAGGTCACCGTGGCAGGGAGAAGATCTTTTCCCACCTACTTTGCCTCAGTGATGTTAGGGTAGAGATAGGCATTCATTCAACAAACATTTGTTGAACACTTACTATGTGTAGGCACTAAGCTGGGGGGTAGGGGGTTCAAAGATGAATATGTGGGAGTCCTACCCTTGAGGAGCGCCAAATGGTGGCAGAGGCAGACAAATTGGGGAGGTACATGCTCTGCTGAGGGTGTGAGCCAAGGCTGTGGGAGCTCTAAGGAGAGAAGGCTTCTCAGAGGAGGTGGCTGGAGTTGTACTGCAGGATGAGTAGGAGTTTGCCAGTGGAGAAGAGGGAAGGGCACTGAAGCAGAGAGTGAAGAGCAGGTGCAGCCAAGTGGCTTTTTTTAACCCTCCCGGCTCCACTTGCCTGAAGGCGCTGCCCCACCCCGAGCCTCACCTGGGGCAAGCACGTCATGGCTCTTCCGGCCTTGGGGGCACAGAAGGTGCCACCGTGGTCCAAGTCCATGAGGCAGCAGTCACTTAAGCACTCCAAGTGGTGGGAGCACCCAGCCCCATTCCTCTGTGGGGACAACCCCTGAGTCAGGAGCTCTCTGGCTATGGGGGCAGGTGGGGGAGGGTTCCCAGCATTGCCAAGGCCCCAGGGCTCCAGAAGAGAAGCCATGAGATGGTCACCCCCAGGTCCACCCCCACGGCACACTCTCCCCACCAGCAGCAGCACCCAGAGGAGCAGGCTGAGGAAGAGGGGTTTTAGGACTTTCCCTTCTGCCTCT